TGGCCAATTGAGCTTCTGTCCTATATCCCCTCCTGATTCAAGTTGCATTTTGGAAAGTTTTAAAGGCATGATTGTTTGTCTTGCTGGCCCTTTGAAATGTTTTAATTGCTACTTAGAAAAGGAAACAATCTATCAATTCCATCCCCACAAGCTATGCCCACAGTTACAACTAGTGCCCAGAAGGCAGTATGGTATCACGGGCATAGTCTTGATGGCTAGAAAATGATATTTAGAGGTTTGCTTTTGGGAATTGGCTTGTACGTAAAATAGTTATTGCATTAGAACAATGGTCCAGGATAAGAGCAAGGGTTAATTGATTTCTAAAAGCCTGTTTGTGGCAGCTTTTTTCAAGGCCTACTTCGTCTGATGCAGGCAAGCAGACACAGGCTGGGAAATTTAAGACATGTACCACACTGTTCCATAACATGAGATAAGGTGGCACCAGTTCACATTGCCTGACTGCAGGACCCTGGGCATTTCCAGTTTTGGTAGATAGACCAAATTAGAAGAAACTGGTAAAACCCAAATTAGGATGTGTGTATGTGGTGGGTTTGCAAAATAAAGGAATATGCTGACAGGACAGAATGTGGACAGTATGACTACCACAGGGAAACCGATCAATGATGCTCAGAGGTGAAGAGTCATCAGAATGGGAAAAAGAATGCAAAAGGAGAGATTTGAGAGGTCCCTGAGAAGGGAACCCGAGGCCACCATGAACTGAGGGCACATCACCAGCCCATCTTGCCCACCCCACCTGGGGGGTGGGGGGTAAGCCTCAGCCTTCAACCTCCAAGTTGTTGACATCTGACATTCAAGAAAGAACCTCAGAGTGAAGCTTGCATACTGGTCAGATGTACCTTGATTCTGTGAACCCTGGGACTGGTAGATATAGAATTGTTCGCATTATGCTTATCTGCTATCACTGTGTATCAATAAAATTCGCCTATTATCAAATGGAGAGGTCATGTTTGGTCTGAGGGTTTGGGTCCTGGAACAAGGTATGTGTGTCATAAATCCAGTGGCAACAAATTGATCAGCAGGGATCCTAGTTCTCTCCAATTTAAAAAAAATCCCCAATTTTTAGTTAAAGTAACACCAAATCCACATTTTTCTGTGATTTAAATGAAACACCACTAACATATAGATAACTATATAGCGATGTTTCATTTTAATCATGGAAAACATGGATTTGGAGTTCTTTTTTAACCAAAAATTGGGGATTTTTTAAAAAGTAACCCCAAATCCGTTTTCCATGATTAAAATGAAACATTGCTATATATTTATTTATCTATATGTTAGAGGTGTTTCATTTAAATCACAGAAAAATGTGGATTTGGGGTAACTTTAACTAAAAATTGGGGATTTTTTTTAAATCGGAGAGAACTAGGATCCCTGCTGATCACTTACGTAATTTCTCCCTTAGGGCCTGCCTAATACTAAAGTAAAAAGTACTTTAAAAAAAATATTACTATGCTAGTGTGGACAGGGTTTTAATATGTTTGTTCTGTCTTCTGATCTTGAAAGAACTCGGTGTCTGACAGGCTGTTAGTTTACTATAGCAAATAACTACTTCTGTAATTAATCTGTCTTTAGACTTCTCAGAAAAGCTAGTTTAATAATTTGGCTTTGTAGGAGCTTGGTTTAGGACTCTTTGCCAGAAAAATCCCCTCTTTGAATTGTTTCTTGAAGTCCTTGAGGTTTTTTTCCCCATGCATAACGAGTAGTTTTATACTATCAGAAAGATGTTTGTCTGTATTGAAGAAGAGAACTACAAAAAGTGTTTATTCACCTTCCTGAAATAGTTACATTCAGTAACATCTGTTTAGATTTTTTTTTTTTATTAAAGGGATACAGCATTTGATTGGAGATATAATTTAGCCTCTAATCCTGTCTATTGTAATCTACTAGAACTGCTATGGTGAAAGTACTTGATAGAAAAAGGCAGCCTGCTTACTATACAGCAGGGTTAGTACCTCTTACTTAAGGTGACATGTGTCCCAATTTAGCCAAGACAATCCAGGATTCTGTAGCCTGGTCCTGGCCACTTTATCAAAAGTCCTAGGCAGGAGTCCAGTGGGGAGGTAGAGCAGCATGGTGTGCCAGGCAGGTCCTGAGCAGGCACCACTGCTCTCATGTGGGAGCAAGATGGGTGCCAACCCACCCACGCATGGCACATCCTTGTTCCTGCACAGAAGTGGTGTTGCCTGCCTGGTGCACCATGCTGTACCACCTCCCAACCAGATGCTGGCCTGGGACTTTTTTGACCAACTGTCTGGGACCAGGTGACTAAATCCTGTAGCGTCATGGCCAAACCAGGACATGTGGTGATGCCACTCTTACTGCAACTCCTACAAGATTGTCCTGCAAAGAATTAAGTTGTTAAGAAGTGAAGTTACTCCAGTTGGAAGAATTCGGTCTTTAATTACAAGAGAGAGAAATGGAAGCTAATACATTCAGAAGTAGAAAATTTCATGTTAATTCCTATATACGAGGGTCAAGGCACAACCGGAATATCTCCCAAAGTCTGTCTTGTTCCGAGTTCAGCAAATACAGCAGAAAAGTGTAGTTTTTAATTTTTGGTTTCAGAGTGTTACATTGATTTTTTATTTTTTTTAACATTCACAAATGTTCTTTATTAACAAATTTTTTTTTATGTAAAAATAAAACTATGCACGCCAGGACAGGAACACTCCTCCACTTGCCGCACTTTCTTCCATGTTCCTTGGCACTGTGGATTGCCAACTGCTTGCCAGTGGAGAACTTTATTCCTGAAACATAACACAGTAAATGATTACTGAAAAACCTACTTGGTTATTTATCAATCTATTTAAATTGTAAATAGAAATGTAGCTGTAAGATTTCATATTAAATAAAAGTACTTGGTAGCATGTCAGCCTTGTTTAGATTTTATTTATTTGCCTAGCTTTCATAGCGCATCTTCTATTCTTATACTGTAAGCTTTCTAGAGTGTTTAGGCATTGATATGAGCTAATGTATGGTAAACACATGTGTTTGACTAAAAGTGAGTCCAAATACGTAACGTCTTATTCCAGAATCGCTGTTCTGGTTACTTTATTAAGTGTATGCTGTTTGAGGGAGTCATGTAGAAACCTGTGGGTGTATCTACACAAGATGCTTTATTGTGCAGTAGATTTGTCTACTTCACAGTAAAGCATCACCGTCTACACATGTTCACACTTACTGGTCAGTAAATTAATCAACTGCACCATTAGCTACCAACTGTAAAGATGGGTAGTCAACT